TTTACTCCAACAAAGAATCCATTTCTCCCCACTGCCATCTACACCTTTAATGATCATGTTTTCCAAAGTTATAACTGTGCATTAGACCACAGCTCAAGGAAGCCACATCCCTCAAGCATACTGCTCTTAATATCCCTCAACATTTTCCTTAGGACATCAGTGGTTTTCAAATAAATTTAACAATTCAAGGCTGTGTGGACTGTCTCTGGAACACTTAAAAACTATAGTGAATTCCATTGCATTAAACACATTGTTTATAGAATGGATGCTCAACATACCTTAGATAAAGACTCACCTGAATTCTCAGTGCATTCCCACACCCTAACCCAGATACAAATTTTCCTCCTTAATAAATACATGTATCATTCTACTTGTCCATGAGAGTTACATAAATCATGTTTCCCTTTTTGCCTTAGCTGCTAGGAAGCCCAAAACTAAGTTTTATATTCAATTGCTTAGCATTTCTCAGCCCCAATATCTTTGTTTCTATTTAACTTCTGCCTTTTATACTGTGCAGGTTGATTTTGATCTCTTTGAGGCCAGGGTTCTATTGTAAAACCCTCTATTTTTAGAAGCATTCAAAGCATAATAAATATATCAGACAAATAAAAAAATTATTCTTGCCTTTTGTGTCTTCATCCAAGGCTTTGATGAGTGAATGAGAAATCTCTCCTCTCTTAACTCCCAAGTTTGCTCTTCCTCTGGGGTCCTCTCAGTGGGATAAAAATGACAATACTGTGAGCTTTGGTTGTAGTTAAACACTCTCTTCCATTGTCTGCTTTATTCTGCCTTTGCTTCCCCACAATTCCTCACTGCTTGAAGGCTGGATTAGGAAACACCAGGTCTCTGTTTACCGAGGAAACAGAAACTCTCAATAATGTTGCACTCTCTTTGATGAGTCTCTTTTATGGTACCAGTACTGCCTCCAAAGACTGGGCATTCTTCACACAGAGAGCCCTTCCTTTTCCATAAAGACCTTTGCACACTCTACCTTCTCCTTCACAGAAAATAATGAATAGGACTGTTCGTGCATTTGCTGTTGGACAAGAATGTATTGAGCATCTACTTTCAACTAGGCATTGGGCGTGTAACTTGAAAACTGAGTAGATTGCACTATATTTTCTGGATGTCCCAACAAAGCACGTAATCCTCCTACAGGAGAGGGTAGACAACCCTCTCTCACCCCTTTCAGGCGACCTAGGGAACTGGTCACATTTCTAAGGAGAGACAGACTTGCCTTCTCTCACCCTCAACAGTGGGGTGTCCTTTCAAGACTTGTTCGTCGTTAGTATATTTGGCATAAATAGTGTCACTTCAGTAGCTTCAGGAGGTTACATTAAAGTTCTGATTCATGTGTAACTCCACCCCAGGAAGCCCACACCAGGATCAGGAAATCCCAAGGTCAGCAGGGGTCATTGGTCCATTCCCCAGGGTCTAGACCACACAACTCAACCACCCTGGTCTTCCCTTATCCTCCCTACCTTCTGCCTAGAGAGGTTGGCAGCCACGTCCTTCCCTGAGGCTGAGTGAAGCCCAAGGTGGAATCCTCTTCTCAGTACCTCGGGAAGCACTGAGATTGAACCTCTGAGAAACCACCCAGCACTGAGGGAAGCACACATCTAGATACCATTCGTCCTTGCCCATCGCTTCTTCTCAAGGGAAGAATGTGGGGACTCTGGGACATGCAGAGACAGAATTCTGGGCTCTCTCTCAACTCTCACCCCTTCTCATCTCATTTCTGGAGAATTCCCTGCCTACTTTGGTTCAGCAAAGTCCCAAGAGGCTAACTTAGCTTTTAACTTGACTGTCCCCTGTAGGTCAATGCTGGAACACAAACAGCAATTGTTTGGGGACATGGTATTCTAAACTGGTTTAATTGCTGCTAGACTTAGCTGTATTTTAATTATTGCCTACAATTTTACTCTCAAACAAAAAAAAAGAAGAAAAAAACAAAAAAACTGAAAAAATTTTAAAAATTAAATTTTACTCTCTAAATTTGAGGTCATTTAGGAAGATACACAGTTTTAATTTATCCAAGTAGAGGTTAATTTTGTTCACTTAGACAAATTCTAAGAATCCTTCGAAACTCAGCCAAGTGTTACCTGTTACATGAAGTCTTGTTCTGATGTACATCGTCCCCCACCCTCCTCCAAAAGGGAAAAATCACTCCCTGCCCCATGCTCCGTGCTGGCTTTGTGCCCACCCCAGCTAATAGCACTTCTCACTCTCTATTGTGTTTATATTACTCATTATTTCACCCCTGCTAGGCTAGGCCCTCAGTGGGAGCAGCTAACTCAAGTCAACTGCATCACCTTGCCCCGTGTGGAGCGAAGCACCTCGCAGGTGCCTGGCATTCACCGATCTCAGAATGCTACAGCATCCTTTAGGTACTCACCAAATCTTGTCCAACACCCGATCACACTCCCTATAAATGATGTGTTTTACGCCAGCAGCTGCTAGTGATTCTGGTCAAGGCCGTTATAAAATGTAGAAACAAAATTTTTTCAAACTTTGGCCATTCACTAACACCCTTCATAATTCATGTTTTATCCGAGTTATCAGTGTTATTAATGTTTTTCTTGACTTAAATTAAGCTCATTTACTTTTTTCTTAACAGTAACAATGTCATTTAACTGGTTATACTTTTTACCCCTCACTTTTAAATAAATACAAAACATGTTTAAATGCTCATCTGTGTATCACCTAAAACTTTCATTTCAAGGACGAGTAGCTCTGAAAACTCTGGAAAATTTTTTGAAATGAAAGCCTGTGTATGTGTGTGTGAATGAGAGAGAGAACTTGGCAGGAGTTTGTCAAAGCAAACTTGAAAGAAAAATGCAAAATAACTCCAGAAGAATCAATCACCAGCCCCTTGAAAGAGTAATTGTATAGATGCTGAGCTGGAACATATTTCAGAAAGCTTCAGTGGTCCACTCAGAGCAGAATAAACAAAAAACCC